CAATTGTAATCTTCTGCCCATAATTGTTATTTATTAAACATAAATTTATAAGAATATATTGTTAGGAGAATTTATTTATATTAGATAGATGGTTTTTCTGTTTCTAAGTCTTGCAAAATTTACCAATTTAACTTTTACTGTTGAAATTATTTATTTATATTTCATCTAATTTATATACGAGTCACACCCAATTTTTTTTTTTTTTTATCGTCAAAGATCTATTAAATGTAAAAAGATAAACCACAATTCTTTTAAACAGATAGGATAAACCAAAGAGAAAAGCAAAACCACATAAAAATAGAATCGAACTCAAAGAAAGTAAAACAAAACAGAGCCTCATTCCTCTACAAAACACCACAGCAGTGTGCATAAACCTCAACAATCATTCWAAGGTCGACCTTATTCTAGAACAAAAACCGCTTCAAAGCATACTGGAAATCATTGGGCAACATAGGATTGAGATCGACCGTCTTGAATCACACTTTGAGGTATTGCAACATCACCTTCACTATTCTTTTGGTCCTCGAAAGTAACTTCCCAACGTTACCTTTTTGTCTCTCTAGCTCTTCAATAAGCTTATCAATTTTCATTTCTAGAGGAGGCCAATCATGAGGTTTGTTCAGAGCTTTAATCAATTCTCATGTATCTGCTGGAAAGATAACATTAGAGAGATATCAGCTCTTCATGCTCTCGCCAACCCACCGATTTTGTATCTCCGCATCCTTTTTCGACATAATACCATCAAAAGATGGTCGGATATGCATGCACCCACAATAGTCCCTAACCACAGAAACGTTGTCATGTGTTGACCAACACCACATTGCATTTGACAAAGTCAATGCAAGACGGTTCCCAATGCATTTCATTAGTCTTATCCTCAATACTTTCCTTCAGCATATGTTTATTCGTGTCTGTCCAACCAATAGCATCTACTGCTTTCTTCACCATCATTGGAGCCGGAAAAAACTTCCTGTAAGTTACGATTTTTTCAAAGTTGCCACATTATCATTATCCATGCATGGTGGTACCAACCTAATATCCTCGTAATATCTTGTATCATGACAAACTTTAAAAATAAATTGTCATTCGAAAACCCATGAATCGGTATAGGAATGTTGACAGAGAACCCACACTTGTCTTGCTACAAGACACGAGATCAAAATGTGGTTAACAGATTCATCACACCCAGAATTCGACGATCAGCTCTATTAATGTTGAGATTTTTTTTTTGTTTTCTAGAAGCCTTAAACAATTAAGATTCGATTCTGTTGGATCCGATCAAACCGAACCGAACCGTATTTCGGGTTTGTGGAGAGAAAAGAAAAAGGAAGGGTAATTTGGGTAATAAAGTGTGGAGGCAGGCGAGGAACGAGGAGGATTCGTCGTCGAACCAGTGAGGGCCCGGACCGGAGCTTTGATACCTC